CACACAAATTACTCATAACCTCAATTTCCACTGAACTGACATAAACAACGATTTATCCGACTTTTGAATGAAATTCGGATAAATGTCAGTTTATGTCAAATCGCATCACATTTTATTTTCACTGTGAACTGCCAAAGTCTTTATTGTGTTTCAAGCATAAACATTGAGAATTTGATGATTAAAAATAATTTATTCGCCGCAAAATCCATTATTCATCCAATTTATAAAGCATAAAGTTGAAAAAAGACAAAATGGGTCGAAAAACTGTAAGTATTTATTGGCATCGGCACGATAACTATCGATTTACAAAATTTTATTCGAATTGCTTATTGTTGATTTTAAGGAAAAAACCAAACACGATGGATATTGTTGGAATTGTGCAAAGTCTAAAGCAGATATTGCTTGCTCAAAATGTATTCGGTCATTCCATCAAAAATGTTTAAGAAATGAAATGAGCGGCGAAGATTTCATTTGCACTGAATGCGAACGCCAGATGGAAATGTCCACAAAAAACGACAAGTATGTCTTTTTTTTTTAAAGGAGCGTTATTCTTATTTTTTTTATTTTTTCACAGTGAAATTGAGCTGAACATGATTCCTGCGCTAGTAGAATTCGTAATGGACGATTTGATGGTATATTTTGTGTACTTAGATATATAATTTTCGTTGATAATTTTTCTTCGATTTTTTTGTTTAGTTCGTACCTTTGAAAGATGTCCAGTTCGGTAAAACTAGTGGCAAGTTAGTTAACAAGATTGATTTGGCTCAAATTAAGAAGAAAAGTTCGATTTATGAATCGTTTTTTGATTTGCGTGTCGATATATCATGGTTTGTACATAATTGCCAAATAGCATATCCAAAAAATAACGATATTTTACACGGAGCAAATAAACTTCTCGATTTTGTGGACGAAGAAATTTTGAGTTTGACCACTTGCGTTGAATGTTATGACAATGCCTCCAAATACCCAGAAACATCTTTTACCATGCCGTGCAATACACCGCACCTACTGATTTGGGCAAAAGCACCAGGATATATATTTTGGCCCGCAAAGGCCATGTCGACGAAAGGAAGAAAGGTACACGTGCGCTTTTTCGGCGACCATACGACTTGCGATGTGGATTCAAGTGGTTGCTATGTATTCTCCACTGAAAATCCAGAATGTATTACAGTCAATGTCGAATCATATAACGAGGCGTTGGAAGTAAGTCAAGCTCACTTTTAAATTATTTGAAAAGTTCATTACAAGACAAGTTGTCTAGAATCGAAATTAACTCAAAATATTATCGATTAACTATAGGAGGCTAATACGTATATTAAAAATATACGCGAAAAGTTTGGTACATTCAAACATGCACCATATCGAACTTTACTGGACTGTTCCAAACTGAAAGAATACGCGAACGAAATGTTTACAAAAAGCGAAAATCAATTGACAAATAAAACCGATAGCGTTAATGATATTGATCATAGCAATATGGATACTAAGAGATTTTTACAGCAAATGAATGCGACAAATACTGCCAAAAGTACCCATCAGGTAACCATCAATTCTGTTGATAGTGATCATAACATCGAAAATATTCGAGAAAATAACGACCAATTGAACGAAAAAAATGCTACCGAAAATCTACTCAAGAGATCTCAAACACAAACCGAACAAACCGGTTGCAAGAAGATGCGAAAAAATGATGACGACGACGCTGAATGTGATCGAGAGCAAGAAATAATCAAGTATTTGAATGAAGAAGCTGAGAAAAAAGGTCAAATTGTCTTGAATTGTTTGAATGATTTTGCCACGAAAGCCCATCAGAAAATAAAAGATTACAAATCGTTCTTGATGAAAGACAAAATGCTTGAAAACCAGACTAAATTAGAGCAAGAGAAAAGTGAGCAACAAAAATTATTCGACAATGAAAAAAACGAATTTCAACGAAACATCTATGCATTGCAAAAAGATATTCTTGAACAAAAGAATAAATTTGACGCACAAAAAACTGCATTTGAACAAAAAAACGTGGCGTCTGAAAAGGAAAAGATCGATCAGAAGGAAAAATTCGATGTTGAAAAGGCTGCCCTTGAACGAATAATCAATGGATTGCGAAATGATATTCTCGAACAAAAGAATACATTTGACGCACAAACAACTGGATTTAAACAAAAAGTCTTGGCGTTTGAAAAGGAAAAGATCGACCAGAAGAAAGCATTTGATGATGAAAAGGCTGCCCTTGAACAAACAATCAAGGCGTTGGAAGAAACGAATGAGTGTCATTTGAAAAAAAAAGGGAAATCCTTTTGTAATGGATGCGACCAAATACTCAATGTCGTTAACTTTTGCAATAGCGATTGCAATGAAATCTTTTTTAAGTAGGTTTAATTCAATTGTTCTCTAATATTATACTATCATATCTTATTCTACAATTAATTTATTCCAGGAAACTGAATAAAGGAGCCAGTACATAAGCTGAATAAAGGAGCCAGTGATGGAGCCTGCAGATATCAATTTTCATTGAAATTGCGTCGATTAAAGTATTAATGTACAAGTGCCTCAAAAATAAAACAAAATAGATTTGATTACAATTGACGTTCAAATATTAACATATAAATGAAATCTCCAATGAAAATTAGAAATTTAAGAGTTTAAAAACAAAACTTGTACGTTATTTTTTAATAATATTCGAATCGAATTGAGCCGCTTTTAATACATCATTTAAATTTGGTCGTGCCATTTTTCAAAAGTCTTGAAAGTCTTTTGTTTTAGGTTGTATTCTACTGTACTGCTGACAGTACTGGAAAAATCACAAAAAACTTATTAAAACTAAATTCTTAAATTAGAAATTCATAATAAAAACATTTAAAGGCCATTAGATAAATTCTCTGAACAGACGCATTAGAAATTGGGACATTTTAGCACAACAATTGAAAATCGTCGCGCCATTTTTCGTTAGTACTAAAAACTGTATGTTTAGTGTCTATGGATTGTGTTAAACGCTGTCAATAATTGACATCTCATAATGTGATGAAATAATAACATAACTGTCATTTGGCTTAAAGTGAGTTCACGTGTAATTAAGACAAAATCAAAAACGTTATAGTTTATCAACAAAAATGAATTTCTACGTTGTTTATTTGGCAAGCAAACGCTTTGTTGTAATTAAAAGAAATTGGATACAAAATCCAATGGTTGGAAAACAGTCTAAGGTATTTTATTCTCCCAATCCGAATGCAATTGCAAATTTCAACAGCAAAATTGGTTACTATCTGAACACCACAACCGACGCTTGCTATGATGCATTCATTTACAAGGTTTTTGGTAAGTATAAATTGATAAAAAAAATTAAAAGTTTTCAAATGCCATAGGAATATTACACATTATAATGATTTGTAGATCGTTTTGATGAAGCACAAAAATACGTAATTGACAAGCGGTCAGTTCCTCCGGTCGAATATGTATGTGGAAAAAAATTTGTGCAAATCGTCAGCAAAGATAGTCCTGTCGATTTTATTGATATATCTTCAACTGATAACGATTATTCTGATGAAGACGAATCTCATGAACGTGGAGAAAAAGAAGACTCCTCATCATTAAACGATAATATAGATATAATTCAAAATAAAATTGATGACAATGAGCTTCAAGTCTCAAATGTGGATCAGACAACTAACGCACGTACAGTTGGTGACGATGATGATGGTATGGCCAAAGATGAATTGCCAACTGATCAAATCGAAGATT